CTCGCTCGTCATCCAATCCCGAACTTTCAAGCTCGTCTTCTCCACCTCGTCCCGCTCCTCCACGACCACCTCCACCACTACATCCACCACCGCCACCACCACCTCCAGGCTGGATTGTGAATAGTGATCCCTCGTCATCACAGACAATTCCTCCACCGACTTCTGTGCCGGCTGCAATCCCTTCATCGACAAACGCCGAATCAACATCGAACAGCTCTCAGGACGACACTCTCACATGGATTTGCCGGAAGTGTTCGCATGAAAATCCAGAATCGTCCACTGTTTGCTCTCAGTGCAGTGAATGTAAATTAATAGGTCAGTCTTGACACTATCCCTTTGTTTAAACTAACAGTTGTGGTAGTGCTACTTTTTTCGACCTTATTGCGTTGATTACGTTACGTCCTGTAATGTTAAGTATGTGCAAATGAAAGGAAGTTCAAGAAAAGAGTAATTGTACAGTGCTGTTGACGTTAGTCAGAACTGCTAAGACGTTCTTTTATCCAAAGTCTACGTTGTGCATTAACCTCAATTATAAGGGCGCACTCCCATGTACTGTGCGGTCTAGCGAGAAGGACTTTTCATTTTCTTGTATGTCGTTGTGCCACATATGAAAACCTTTTTTTTTGAATGGGATTTTTTGCTGATTCTGAAAAATGCAGTCCTTATGCGAAAAACGAGCAAAAAAGAAAAAAAAGCCTGCTTCTTGATGAATATTCTCTCGCTTCTGTCAGCACCACGAATTGCAAACTGATGAAATTCTTCTTACAGTTGCTTGGCGTAATATCTCTTCTTTGCATTTTTTTATCTGAAATTTATTGGAAATTGGTACTTTTGAAGCATTTGCCTCAAAAATTGTCTCATAAAAATTGCTGGTAGTTTATCTAAAGCCCATCATCCAAAACTGCTGAGCCAAAAGCTATATACTTAGGCTCGAAAAGGCGTCAGCGCGGTCAAAGTCGAATTCATACTTCTATCTTGAGTGGCGTAGGTAGCGTGAGCGATACTTCCGGATCAACAAATTCAGTGAGTCACCTTATTCTTCAACATTATCTTCAATAATAATTTTTTTAACCGGAAGTCTTATCGTAATAGAGATTGAATTGTCATGTAGGGCGTCATGTCGGCAGACGATAAAATGCCATCATTATGCTCGGAGGTGATGACAGATGTGGAACGTCGTGATTGTGAGAATGCGGCTGCTGCATATTCTAGAATCGTAAGCTTCTGCGGGTAAGATTTTTACTTTTCATTTTGGACTTTGTTAAGCTAATCATTGCTCTATCTCAGACAACACAAAACCACATTCGTTGATGACAATTTCCCTCATACTGATAAGTCTATAGGCGATCTGCATGTTTCGGAACTAGGACCTGTTGTAGGTAAGCATATTCT